CCCCCTATCTATTTTCTATCTACTGTCTATGCTACTTATTTTCTGTACCTTCTCCCCCCTTCTCCTCCTCCCACTCCCCTGTTGCTAACCCTCCACGTGATCTTCATTTCTATGGTTCTGCTCCTGATCTAGCTGTACTCTTAGTTTGCTTTTGTTTTAGGTGTGGTTCTTAATAACTGTGAGTTTGCTGTCCTTTCACTGTTCATCTTTTTTATCTTCTTTTTCTTAGGTAAGTCCCTTTAACATTTCATATAATAAGGGCTTGGTGATGATGAACTCCTTGAATTTGGTCTTATCTGAGAAGCACTTTATCTGTCCTTCCATTCTAAATGAAAACTTTGCTGGGTAGAGCAATCTTGGTTGTAGATCTTTGGTTTTCATGACTTGGAATACCTCTTTCCAGCCCCTTCTTGCCTATAAGGTGTCTTTTGAGAAATCAGCTGACAGTCTGATGGGAACTCCTTTGTAGGTGACTGTCCCCTTATCTCTTGCTGCTTCTAGGATTCTCTCCTTCATTTTAATCTTGGCTAATGTAATGATGATGTGCCTTGGTGTGTTTCTTCTTGGGTCCAACTACTTTGGGACTCTCTGAGCTTCCTGGATTTCTTGGAAGTCTATTTCCTTTGCCAGATTGGGGAAGTTCTCTTTTATTATTTGTTCAAATGAGGTTTCCACTGGTGGCTGTTCCTTTCCCCCTTCTGGTACCCCTATAATTCGGATGTTGGAACGTTTAAAGATGTCCTGGAGGTTCCTAAGCTTTTCCTCATTTTTCTGAATTCTTATTTCTTCATTCTTTTCTGTTTGATCATTTTTTTCTTCCTTCTGGTCCACTCCCTTGATTTGAGTCCCAATTTTCTTTCCATTACTATTGGTTTCCTTTGTATTACCATTCATTTCAATTAGTTTAGCTTCCATATGTTTCTCTAATTTGTGACTAAAATCAACCAGTTCTGTAAGGATCCTGATAACCAGTGTTTTGAACTGTGCATCTGAGAGACTGGCTATTTCTTCATCGCTTAGATCTATCGGTTCTGGGGCTCTGAGTTGTCCTAGAGCCATTTTTGGTCTATTCGTGCTGTTAAGTAAGCGGAGCCAAGCCTCAGTTGTTTACCAGGATGGGGCGACCCAGGTCGCTGGTTTGTGACGCTGTGTGTGGGGGCGTGGTCAGAGAGGGAGCAATGGCGGTCCTCTCCGCTAGCCCAGCCCCTCCAGTCACACCACACGCCTTGGGCTTGTTTATCCGATCGGAATTGTGCGAGCCTGCTGCCCCGCACAGGCTTCCCACCTCACTGGTTTCTCGGAACGTGCGCGACCGACAGATCCCCAGCGCCTCTTCCCTGCGCGCTCCCGTAGCTAGCTCGCTTGCGATCAGCGCCTTTCAGCGCCTTTGGCTGCTTGCGTGAGCACCGCACACCACCCAGGAAATTTTTTTTTTTCTAACCTGGTCCGCCGCTGGCTTCGCTCCTCGTACCGGTTTAGCTGAGTATTTAGATGTCCTTTGGACTCCCTCCGTATTGTTGATTTTCCATGTGGCTTGGTTGTGACTGTTGTTAAAAATAGTTGTTCTTAGATTTGGTTGTGCACAGAGGCAAGGTGGTTCCTCCACCTACGTCTCCATCTTGGCGGAAGTCCTCAGTTTTTCCTTGTTTGTCCCTTGGTGTCTTTCATGCTGCTGACCCAGCACTGGACTTCAGAGCAAGTGAGTCCGAGTAAGTCCACGTGAGAACCCTTTAAGAGGAATTCCTGAGACTCAGCCACTCCCTGTCTTGCTCAACTACAATCCCTGCTGGTTTTTATGGCCAGAAGTAATGGAGTCTTCTTTTTCTGGCATTGGAACTCTGGGCTGGAGGGCCTGGTGTGTGTGGGGGGCAGAGGGCTGGGACCTCTTGCTCCTCAGGGAGGGCCTTCCCAAACAAGCTATTTCCCCTCATTTTTATCTGCCACACATGGGTGTGGGCCAGCCCAGTCTGAGTCTCCACTCCTTCTATCATTCTCGATGGGGGGTTCTTCTGTATATTCTTAAGCATGGGACTTCTGTTAAGCTAGATTTCAGGTGGTCCTGAGTAGTGGTTGTTCTGTAGTTCAGTAGTAACTCTGATGTGGTTGTGAGTGAATATGAGTACCCCATGTATCCATGATGCCATCTTGACCAGAACCTTCCTGCTATTGGTTATCTTCATAAGTTTTTCCTCTTAGGCAAATCAAATTCCCCAGAAAAGAGATTTCTAAATTGGCACTTGGAGGTTACAAATCTAGACTATGAAATTATTTAATATACTGGCATTTTATTAAACTATATTTCTAGCTAAGCTATCATCAGTTTTCTCTCTGACCAGATGATCAGTTTCTCCTCTACGGACAATGTAACTGAATGCAGGTCTGGCTGCCTGCTGCAAGGAAAGCCACACTCATGAGACGGTGCTACTGGGAAGGAAAGAGGCTTATTTACATTCTGGTCACCTACCAGATGGGGACCCTTGTCTCAAAGCCCATCTTACATTTCAGTGCAGGCAGAGATTTTTTATAGGTGGGGGTGGGAAAGAAGAACAAGAGATCAAAGGGAGGAGTTTGAAAAGTTCTGTACGTGCAGCTCAGCACGCACCGTTGAGACGAGGATCTCAAAACTGGTCAGGGGATGATCTGGCGTGCCTCATCTTTGACCTCCATCATCCTGCTCTTAGGGTTGAAGGTCAGCAAATCTCCCATACCTGGGATGACTGAAAGTCTGTGTCATTTTAAGTCAGTTCCTAGGATTCTTATACAAATGTGCTGTTTATTTACAAGCTACACATCTGTCAGAGTCAGTATTTACAGAAACAATGTCAAAAGAATGGTGGGGTGGATTACAATTCCCCACTGTTGCTACAACATAATCCAAAATTGTACCAGGGTGGAAATAAGGGTGTGGATAGGGACCAGGGTTATCTAAGAATCTCGTTCCTTAATCTAATTTATTAATTTAAAAAAATTTATGGACTGTGCTTTCCATGTCATAACTGAGAAATATTTGCTTAACCCAAGGTCATAGTACTATATTCTCTTGAACAGATCCCTTTATCACTATAGGATCACCTTTATCCTGAGTAATGTTCTTCATTCTGTAATTTACTTTGTCTGATATACAAGAGCCACTCCAGCAGCTATCTTTTGATTAATGTTTGTATGATATATCCTTTTAATTTTAACCTATTGTGCTTTTATATTTAAAGTATTTCTTGTAGGAAGCATATATTTAGGTATTTTATTTCATTTTAAGAGATTTTATTTATTTTTAGAAAGGAGAAGGGCGAGAGAAAGAGAGGGAGAGAAACATCGTGTTGTTGCCTCTCTCACCCCCTACTGGGGACCTGGCCTGCAACCCAGGCATGTGCCCTGACTGGGGATTGAACTGGTGACCCTTTGGCTCTCAGGCTGGCACTCAATCCACTGAGCCACAGCAGCCAGGGCTGGGTATTTTATTCTTAACCAACTCAAGGCTCTCTGCCTCTGCATTTACTGTTACTGTTGATATGGTTCATCTATTTATTTTCTGATTGTCCCCACTGCACTTTGTTACCTTTTCCTTCATTGTCTTTGTTTTGACTAATTGAATATTTTTTGTTTCTATTTTGTCTCTTGAAATTCTTTTTTGTTATTCTAGTGGTTGTTTGAGGTTTATAGTATTCATGTTTAACTTACAGTATTCTAATTTCAAGTGACATTCTACTACTCCATGTCCAGTATGAGAGACTTATAGCAGTATATTTTCAGGTCTTCCTTCCTGGCCTTTGTGCTGTCTCTCATACATTTAAATGTTTCCTCTAGCTCTGGCTGGTGTAGCTCAGTGGATTGAGCAGGGGCTGTGAACCAAAGGGTTGCGGTTCAATTCCCAGTCAGGGCACATGCCTGGGTTGTGGGCCAGGCCCCCAGTGGGGGCCATGTGAGAGGCAACCATACGTTGATGTTTCTCTTCCTCTCTTTCTCCTTCCCTTCCCCTCGCTCAGTAAAAATTTAAAAAAGAAATAAAATATTAAATGTTTCCTCTGTGATGAAGCTCATACTTCATTGCTATTATTTTTAAGGAATCAGTTTTTAAATTTTTAATAACTCTACAGTTACCTACGCAGATTCATCTCTAAGGCTCTCCTTGACTTTGCATAGACCCAAATCTCCAGCAGTTACCGTTCTCTTTCTGCAGAAACAACTGTGTTCAGCGTTTCTTTTATTGTGGGTCTCAGTGGTGGTTATTTTCTCTGCTTAAATTAAAAATATCTTTACCTTTATTTTTGAGATTTTACTGGGGACAAATCCCATACTAACAATATGTTTTTCAGTAGCTGAAAATGTTTTTCCACTGTTTTCTCACATGCATTGTTCATAAACAAATATGCTGTCATCCTTACCTTTGTTCTTCTGTACATGTTTTTTTTACTCTGACCATCACATTGAGAAACATGATCTTTATGTGCCGTGGTTGTCTTTTTTTGTGTGCTTCATGTTCACTGGACTTTGCTATAGACTGATTGTGTGTGCCCCCAAATATGTCGAAACCTAATCCCCAGTGTGCTGGAATTTAGAGATGGGACCTCTAAACGGAGGCGTGATTAAGTTATAAGGATGGAACCCTCATAAATGAGATTAATGTCCTTATAAAAGACACCCCGGAGAGCCCCCTCACTCCCTCAGCCATGTGAAGACAGAGAGAAGACAGCCACCCGTGAACCAGCAACCTGGCTCTCACACGACAACACATCTGCTGGGTCCTTGACCTTGGAATTCTCAGCCTCCAAACCTGTGAATAAATTTCTGTTGTATATAAGCCACCGAGTACATGGTATTTTTATTATAGCAACACAAATAAACTAAGACATCACTTTAGATTTGATATTTATAATGATCAAACTTAGAATATATTTTAGCATATGTGTTCTCAAATCTTTTTTTCTAACCACCTTCTCCTTTCTTCAAGGACTCTAATTACCTTTGTTAGGTCCTCTAAATTTTTCTCATGACTCACACTCTTTTCTTTAAAAATTTTTAAATTAAATTTATTGGGGCAGCATTGGTTAATAAAATTACAATAGGTTTCAGGTGTACAATTCTGTATGTCATCTGTATATGTTGGGCTGTGTCTTCACCACCTCGAGTCCAGTCTCCTTCTGCCCCCATAACCCCCTTTACCCTCTTCTGCCTCCCCCACCATTTCCCTCCAGTCATCGCCCTGCTGTTGTCTGCGTCTATGAGGTTTTTTTAATTTTAACAAATTCTTTATTTTCTGTGTTTTATTTGTATGTCTTCAAGTTCACAAATAATTTATTTGTACAATGGCTCATCTGCTGTCAACCCCATCCAATGCAGTTTTTATCTTACTCGCTGCTGTTCCTCTCTCCAGAAGCTCGATTTGGGTCTTCCTTCTAAGCGCATAGCCCTAGTGAACCTTTTAAACATCTGAAATACAGTTACAGCTTCTACTGCAATGTCCTTGTCTTTTAACACCTATATCAGTTCTGTGTTAACTTTAATTTATTCATTTTCTGTTAAGTATGAGTTGTATTTTCCTGCTTCTTTCCACTCTTGGTAATTTTTTATTGGATGTCAGACACTGTGAATTTGAGCTTTTTCTGGGATGAAGGTAAAGATTCTTGCGAGCAATTTGACCCTTCTGAGTCTCGATTTTAAGATTTGTTTATTGGTATCAGATCGGTTTTTAGTCCAGTGCTAATAATTATCCCCTGTTTCTGGGTCCTCTGCCCCGTGTCCACAGACTTTGTAAGTTTCCCAGTCTGGCTGGTAGGAGCACTCTCTCTTCTCATCCATTTGAACACTGGATATTGTTTCCTCTAACCATTTCATTTCGTTGGAACGTAATAGGTAGTGTGATTGGAGGGAGAAAGGCCTTTATTGACCTCTGCGGGTAGACACACAGAGAATTCCTAAGAGTGCAACGTAGCCCTTTCCTTGTTAATACCTCAGACAAGGCAATCTCTCTCTTCCGTCGACAAGGTAAGCACCTTAGTGCTTACACTATGCTTACACTATGCTCTGACTTCATTCCGCTTTCCCCACCTCCAGCATGTCGACATCATTACATTTGTTGAAATTAGACTGTAACTGATATTTTTCTTTCCTCAAATTATTCTTGCATTTCAGATATAGATTAGCTTGTTATAAAACTACAGTTTAACTTTTCCCCTCCAACATTTGCAAGTGCACTCTTTGTCATTTTTATTCAGTGTTGAAGTGGAGAAACGTGAGGAAGCTTATCTAAAATTTTATTCTTTGAATACTGCAGTAGCGCAGCTACCCAGGTGGGGCCCACAAACAAGTGCCTCTGTGTTAACTGTTTCTTACCAGCTGCTTATGAAACAAATACAGACACAGACACATCGTGAAACTTTTAGAGCAAACTGACAGATTAAATTTGGGTACATTGAATCTACTAATAATTACCTCTTACATGTTTGTGTCTTTGTTTTTTATTCCCTTCACAGTAATTTATTTTAGAAAATGATCGGTCTGTGATATATTATATATAAATCAAGAAACAATATTTATAACAATAGCCAAAAATGATTCTTCTCTACAGATTGTTTAAGAAACACTGCTTGATGTGGTCAGAAACTCTGGTCATACAGACTTACAAGGCCTTAGGCAAAGAGGCCTCAAAATTGGTGGGCTTGAGGCCAGCCACCAGGACTGGAGTCCCGGCAGCGCTCCCGGACCATTCATAGCTCCTGCCTCCATGGTCCAGATTTTTTCTCTAAGTCATTCACTGTTGAGCGGATGGAGAAAGCTCCATGAACTTTCTTTGAAGTAAGGATACAGTGACCCAGAGAATCTGGCCCGGGTGAAGGAAAAAATATGGGCACCATCGGTCATGTTGTAGAAAGAAATGTCACTATCTTCATAATCCACGAAAATCCCAATCTTTTTTGGACACATTTCTATCCCGAGAAGCCGTTCTAGAGAAATGTCTTGGGGAGAACAGGCGAGAGCCCTGTATTCACATCCCTTCTTCTCTAAGACTCTGAATGTCTTCTTTAGTAGAGCTTGGAGTAATCCACTGCTGTCTTTCCGCTCCTCATAAATGCCTAGAGTCCACTCACAGGTGTCCTCAACGTCCACCTCCCAATAGTGTCTCCCTGAAGTGAAGCCTTCCTCATGAAGTGTGATAAGGTTTTGGTCTCCTTGCTTTTCACTACGACAGAGATCCTGTGTTTCCTCTCCCAAGTTCTCTTTTCTCTCTGGGTCAGAATTGTTCTGGCAAAAATGTTTATGATTTACAGTCACAGGGGCTGGAAGAAAAAGAAAGAAATGACAACATTGTAAATCTCAGACACCTATTGTTGCGGGGGGGTGCATAAAGTGCATAAAGTAGCAAATGTGTTTGGAGTGGTGAAGGAGCGCTTCTCTGAGTGGGTGAGTTGGGGGAGGCGGAGCCAGGGGTGAGCTGTGCCCTCACCAGGGTGCTGTGCCTCTTCTCTAGTCTAATCTTGTCTAGGCTACTATCATGGTCTTGGCAGAATGTCAGTGTGAGCCACTTGCAGTGTTTACCTGAGAATGATGTTCTTTCCTCGTTTTCTACAAATCAGACCTACATTCCTTAATTAGTCTGACCTCTTTAAAAAGAGCAGTTAAGTTACTCTTGCCATTTCAGGCCATTTTTACTCATTGTGGTCTCCTCAGTGGAAGGGCCACATTAACTTCTGTTTTAGAACCAAGTGGACTCCACAGAGGAGAAAGCTAGGTCTGCATACAAAGCTGGAAGCACAACCATAGTAGCCAATCCCAGCAGCAGTTTTCAGTTCAGGCTCACGTTTACTGACCTTCATGTTCTTTCCCATCTTTACCAGAATAATGGTACCTCCATCTTCAACTAGGAAATGATGTTAGAAAGGAAAAGAGGGGCCGATAGAAGGGAGCCAAAGAAAACTGCTCACCGAGCTTGAACTGCTCCTTCCTCCAGTCTGAAAAAGAGCAAAACAAGACGAGATCAAGATGAAAACACACCAGGGAATGAAAGGGAGGTGAGATGCCTCCCTCCCTGGCTCACTGCTCTCCCCTCTCGACTCCCCCCACTTCCTCCTCTGAGCCCCTCAAACTCTGGGAGTGCCCAGAAACTACGGTGTGCTTCCCATGCCCTGTCTCAGATTGGGGACTATCACCCAGGTTTGGGCACCTGTAGAAGGGTCCAATGTCCTAGATGCCTATGCTCTTAAGACCTTTATGGGCCTCCTCATTGAGGATGAGACCTACAAAAATGTCCTTTCATTTAATTTTGTTTTTTCCCAGCTTATGACGTCCTCAGAGGAAAGCTTAAGCTTATGACTAAGACCTTTAAATTGACCCTGTTATTTTGACCCCTGTAATCAGAATGTTAATATTTTTTCCAGAGACAGATTACTGTATTTGCTTCTGCCTCTGGGACATGCGATTTTATTTAAAGATTGGCTATTCTCATAAGAGCGTTGGGACAAAGGCTAATAAAGACAGATCCATGATTTGTGACAGGAGCAGCACTGTGGCCTCTCACTGAACATCCCTCCTGTGACAAGTGTAATATGCCAATACGCAGAGTCTGCGAGTATGGGAGTCCAGAAGAACCTCTGAGACCCTGTGCTCCAAACTCTTCATCTCAGAATAAGGAAACTGGGGTCAGAACCGAGACCGACCCTCTTCCTCAGCTGTGACTGGTGGAGTTAGAGCTAAAGCTCCTTAGAACTTGCCGTGTTCTCTAAAGCCACGGGGACATTTTTAAGCATCTTGTGAAAGAAAATTCTTAATAGAAACTGCTTAATCAACTTCAGGTCTTGGGAGGGACTTTCTTTTTATCAGAGACTTATCAGCCTGCGTGTAGTTCATAGCTTCCTCTCCCAGGGGACTTTGAGATCCACAGGGTCAGAGATAATGGTTTATACTGCCAACACCCAGAACAATGTCTGGCATACACAACTGCACACACGTGTGTTCAAAAATGACCTAGTGTGCTTCTGAGGTCTGGATCTGTTACAGATGCACACACACACACACACACACTTATAAACCCACACAATACACAGAAGGTATAAAAATGGTCAATTCCTTCTACCGCCAGATAAACATGTTTTTATAAATTGATATTGAGATATTTTCAGGCTTTTCAAACATAAATTCGTCCCTGTATATTGAACTTTACTTTATTTCAAAAAATGAAACTTGAGCACCAACTTACACCATACACCAAATTAAATTCAAGGTGGATAAAAGACTTAAATATAAGCCATGACACCATTAAAGTCCTAGAGGAGAACATTGGCAATAAAATCTCAGATATTCCACGCAGCAACATTTTTACCGATATGTGCCCTAGAGCAAGGAATATAAAGGAAAGAATAAACAAATGGGATCCCATCAAAATAAAAAGCTTCTGCAGGGCTAAAGAAAACAGTATTAAATTAAAAAGACAACCAACTGTATGGGAAAACATATTTGCCAATGATACCTCAGACAAAGGTTTAATCTCCAAAATATACAAAGAACTTACACGACTCCACTCTAGGAAGACATCGAACCCAATTAAAAAATGGGAAAAGGACTTGAACAGACACTTCTCTAAAGAGGACATACAGAATATCCAGAGACACATGAAGAGATGCTCAATATCGTTAGCTATCAGAGAGATGCAAATTAAAACCACAATGAGATACCACTTTACACCAGTCAGGATGGCTATAATAGACAAAGCAACAAACAACAAATGTTGGAGAGGGTGTGGGGAGAAGGGGACCTTAGTTCACTGTTGGTGGGATTGTAGACTGGTACAACCATTATGGAAAACAGTATGGAATTTTCTCAGAAAAATAAAAATTGACCTGCCTTTTGACCCAGCAATTCCACTGCTAGGATTATACCCCAAGAATCCTAAAACATCAATTTCAAAGAACCTATGCACCACAATGTTCATAGCAGCACAATTTACAATAGCCAAGAGTTGGAAGCAACCTAGGTGCCCATCAGTAAATGAATGGATCCAAAAATTGTGGTACATATACACCATGGAATTTTATGCAGCAGAGAGAAAGAAGGAGCTACTACCTTTTGCAACAACTTGGATGGAACTGGAAAGCATTATGCTGAGTGAAATAGGCCAGGCATTGAAGGACAAATACCATATGATCTCACCTTTGACAGGAAGCTAAAGAATAAAACAAACAAGCAAGCAGAATAAAAACAAAGACGCTGAAATAGAGAACAAGTGGGCAGCGACCAGAGGGGGAGAGGGAAGGGAACTTAAGGGGAAAAAGGGGGGAGGGATTTTGAGGAACAAGTATGAAAGACACAGAGATGAGGACTGGGGTGGGGGGGAATGGGAGGGAGGGGGGAGACCGGGCGGGGGGAGGAAGAGAAAAAAAAATGTACTTGAAAAGTAACTAAATAAAATTTAATATTTAATAAATTAAAAAAATATAAAATAAAATAATTACTGGAAAGGAAAAAAAGGTAAAATAAGCAAACTCATAGTTTATATTTTTCAAAATATATTATCTGCTCTTTTAAACTTTATTTGTAATACAGAGATGCTGACATAATAGCATATTCTCCATTCCTTCCAAATCTCATCAAAATTGCTCTGAGTTCTGCCCCTTCCGGCTCCACAGTGGATGGGCTAACAATCTATGCCGAGTCACACGCTGTCTGTGCTGTAACACGTCCAAGTTAGCAGTTATTTCTCCTTTATTCTTGGCTCCAGAAAACCATCGATTACTTAAGCCTTGAAATACAAAATACTACAGGTCGAAAGTGAATAAATTTTCACAACTTGCAAGTGGATGTGTGTTTCTGGTGGGTCTGTGTGTGTTTGTCTCGGCCTGTGAGGCTCAGAGTAACAGAAGCACTTGGCAAGATCGAAAGCCAGAGAGTCACTTACTTACCAGGATATAGCAGGGCCTTCTTCCAATCTAAACAGAACAAATCCGGGTAAAACATTGTGAGACATGAATCTGGGGCCTCAAATTCCACTCCCTCCCCCTTATTTTTCTTCCACTAATTATTGTTAGATCTTTTGGTGTTTTCCTCTGAGGAGAGGGAGCTGAGAAAGTGTTTGGCATCAGGGCCTCAGGTGGCCTGGGAAACCCAGAGTCTCTTACCTGCAGCGTACAGCTTCTTTCTCCTTTCTGGAAGAGACGACATTCAGTGAGAGACCCGGAACAGTTGTGAAAGGAGAACAAGTTTTGCACAGGGCATGAGAAGAAGCAAGACTCACCAAGCTCTGTCGTGAGGTTTTCTGAAAGAGGAGAAAATATAAACTCCATGAAAGTGGGTTTTAGCTGCTCCTGAGTTCAGGGTGTAGCTAAATGAATTCAGTCTGGCCTTCCCTAAGGGTACCATGATTAAGCGGATAAGAAAAATGAGCAGATTTACAAGTCAAACCTAAAATGACAAGAGCTAAGAAAAGTTGCCTGGACAGTGTCATGGGGTCACAGAGAAAGGTGCACCCACGCTTTGTAGCAGTTTAAGGTTTCTAGGTGTTTCCAAAGCTTGTCCTTGAAGGACCAATAGGAAGAGAAGGCAGTGGGAGACGTTTGCACAGGAGGAACAGCAGCTGAGGCTGGGGCGTGCAGGGACTTGGTATGGTCTGAGCCACATGGAGGCAGCTTCGTGACCACTCACACAGAACTCTGGGCGTCCCTCATGGTTTTCTCCTTCCCTAGGGCTCCTAGCTCTTTGGAATTCTGGGGCCCTGTGTTTTCCTTGGATCCTTTGGCAACCTTTCATTTCCTTGTCTGCTCCATACAATGTATGCCCAGCCTTTTCACAAACCTCTGATCTGCCCTGCTGCCCCAAATTACCTTTGGCATTAAGTACCATTTCTTTTTCACTCTTCATCTGATCTCTTTCATGAGATTCTTTCTTCCTCTTCTCCACTTCTCTTTCTTTGGCTTGATGTTCTCTCCAGCCAGTGTAGCTGATCCCAGCGAGGAGGAGTGCCAGCACAGGGAGTGTTCCAGCCAGGGCCGCCTTCCACGGGCACATCTTGGGGAAGAAGGGTTCTGACACGGCCCAGCCGGACGCGGTGAGGACCGACCTGGGGAAGCCCTTCCCTCTCCCTAAGGCTCCCTGCAGCCCCTGCCTCCCTCCCTGCCCTTACCACACCCCGACTCTGCTTTGGGGTTTGTGCCTCACTGACCTGGGAGGAAGATGGTGGCCACTTTCTCCTGCCCAGAGAGGGGATTCTGGATGGAGCAGGTCACATTGCCTAGAGAACTGTCTGTGACCACAAGTGATGCCTCCGTGCGGAAGAGCCCTTCTCCATCTTGGGTGTGAGACTCAGAGAGGGATGGGAGCTTCGCTCCTGCCTTGTCACTCCACTGCAGCCTGGGTTTCGGGAACCAGCCGCCTGAGGAGCACAGCACTCGAATCCCGCCATCCTCAGGCCCCGTCATGTGAATGTGAGGGACAGAGCCCAAGCCTGAGGAGAGAAGGTATGTGCCTGAGGCAGGTAGTGTTTGGTGCCCAGGGGTCTCTGAGGATGAAAGCCAAGCTGCCCTTCACTAGACGGAGGAATGAACTGAAGCTCAGGGGTCAAGAAGCCATTCAAAGCCAGCATTATGCTGACCTGTGATGCCCTTCGAAATTGAATGAAGGTCTGTGCACTGCACTTGGAGTAAGAGGGCTTCAAGGTCATTCCGATAAGAGAAATGAACAAGAAAATTAAAGTTAGAAAAAGAAGTTAAATTCTATTACTTGTCTTTCACTCCTGATTGGGTAAAACTAATGTTTGAGGGTATCAGTACGTATCTGAATCAATACTAGTCAATTAATTCTCTAGGGTCTTTCAGGATACCAAATAGCAGAAATATTGCCTTTGTTGGTGTTTAGAAGTGAATAGAGTATATAGTCTTATCCTCACAGTCCATCTTAGAAAAGTGACATTCTGTGAGAAAATATAACATGTCACCATATGGAAGACCACAGAAACGCCAGATTGGAGATCCAAACGTCCTCACCTTTCTCTTTGCTTTATAGGAGAATATGCGTCCTCTGTGCCGTGTCAACATACCTATCACATGCAGCTCCACAGTGGCCTCCTGAGAGACGTGGCCATCTTTAAAATAACAACGGTACTGGCCATTGTCGGTGGCACGGATATGGCGTATCAGCAGGGCCACGCTCCCCTTGCTGATGGAGTCTGCCACCAGCTCCGCCCTGCCACGGTACTCCAGCATTTGCTCTCCACCGTCCTCCTGTCCATCCTGGTACACAAGCACAGCGGGGGAGAGCTGGGCTCGGTACCACCGGATGTGCATGTGGGCTGTGCTCTGCTCAGGGGACAGCTGGCAGGGCAGAGTGGCATCTGCCCCTAGCAGGGCCACGACAGGTTCAGCTGGTCCCTTCACAGAAAACCCAGGTGCTGCATAAGAATCAGAGACAGATTAGAAGGAGAGGAGATGAGATGAAAGACCCATCGGCATTTCTTTATTTAGAGACCCATACATATTTGTGTCTTATTTGTATTATTTTCCAAAAAATAATATATATTTAGAATTTATTTATATATAAAAATCTTACTTTTTCCATTGTATTCCCCTGAAGTAACAATTGTGGATTGTTTGGCATGTGATAATGTTAGGTAGCAGCCAGAAACGACTGGCCAGATGGGAACTAGAGCAGGGCCCCTGCCCAGCGCAGTCTAATGAAGAACTCAAAACAAGAGGCCGGGAACAAACTGGGAGACACCTCTCACCAGCTCACTCAGCAGGCTTGAGCCTGGTGTGATAAGACTGCCAGGCATTCCAAGAATTACAAGTGGAACGGTGACAGCACAGGAGGAGAGTGCTTGAAATTACGTGTGTCCACGGAACAGAAACCCTTCGCAAGGCTTTCCCTGGCTGGGAAAGGAAGTCTCTGTAACTGTGTATTAATCTCAAGGTCTGGAAGCGGGAGGAGGAGAGGAACCTAGAAGATGGTTGAAGTACAAAACCCTGGAACCAGATTAGCTGAGTGCCCACTTGTAGTCTCTGCTCAAGTGTGGCTTTGTTGCTGTTTTAGAGGAAATAAAATAACTTTATTTCCTCTATACATGGGGCGTTCAGGCTAGCTGAGTGCTTGCCTGTATTTTCATGCTCCAATGTATTTCACAAATACATTTGCTATCTCATCTCCACTGTACATGTTTATCTCTCATCTGAATTCTTCTCTTGTGAGCAAGACAAGAATCAAGGAGGGAGAGCCCCTGACTAGGGTCTCCCTAGTAACAAGACATTTTTTCTATGCATTTATATGTAAGCTATGTAAAATCTATGTAAAAGAGATTTATTGAGAATTAAATATGGCAAAGTAGCATATTAAGAATTTATCTTTTTTTGTGGTGAAGGGGGTATTGGAAGGTACTTCTCCCTCCATTCATCTCTTTGGCTCTCAGCACTCTGGTCCTAGGAGGATAAGTAGATCTTTAGGACCTTGAATTTTCGGTTACCACATGCTGGGCGCAGTGGAGGGAGGGTTATAGTATATGGCTTTCCCAAGGTGAAAAGTAGAATTTATAAGGTGAGGTAGGCTGGTTTTTTCTTTTCCAAATAGCCATGAAGGCTTGAAATCACAGAGAAATTATTTTCCTGAACAGATAAAGAAGATGTGGGGGGTGTGTGTGTGTGTGTGTGTGTGTGTGTATATATATATATATATATATGATATAAGTCAGACAAACAGAAGACAAATACCATGATTTCACCTCTATGTGGAATCTCAAAATCAAAGTAAATAAAAATACAAAATAGAAAAAGACTCCTAGACCCAGAGAACAAACTGATGGTGCCAGAGGGGAGGGGGACTAGAGGACTGGGCAAAAAAGGTGAGGAGATTAAGAAGTACAAATGGGCAGTTACAAAATAGTCACAGGGTATAACGTACAATCGGGGAAACACAGTCAATAATATTGTAGTAAGTATGTGTGGTGTCGGATGGGCACTAGACTTATCAGGGGAAACGGTTTATAAATTATATAATTGTCCAACCACTGTGTAGTACATTTTAAATTAATATAATGTTGAATGTCAACTGTAATTGAAAAATTAAGAATATTTTAAATAAAAAATACTAATTTAAAAGAAATTATTTTTTTTGAACTTGAGAGCGGTACAAAACTTGGAGGCCAGTGGTTCCAGTGTGGAGAGGCAGGAAGTCCTTACCAGCGAGGAGGGCTGGGCTCCCCGGGAAGGAGAAGAGGATGCCTGAGGCTAAACTGGAAACTTCATCTGAATTATAAAATACATTTTCTTGTCAGCTACTTACAGCCATCGGCTTGAAAATTATTTCGCCACAGAGATCCATGATGACTAAGAAGTGACTGGCACCCTTGGACACAATTTGCATTCAGAAGCCCAGATACCGTCCGGTGAATGGTTAGGACTTAAAGGGCCTGTAAAGGCAGAGCTTTGCAGTGGGAAGAGTCCAGAAAGGCAAGCTCTGTGGGTGGTTGGGAGGGCTGAGCAAAACGGTGAAGGCACATGAGCATAGAGGAAGAAGCTCGTGGCCAGTGTGACCCAGGGAGCAGGATCGGGCAGTCCTCGGCAGGGAGCAGGGCACTGGCTACTGGGCTGGACGGAGGCCATGGTCCCCCTTCCTACCTGTTCCTGTGGACAACCCAGCGTACTGGTATAAGGATCTACGTTCTTTACCAACTGATACTGGGCTGTTGGTCATACATGTTATATGAGACATTGAAATTAGAAAAAAGTATTTGATACTGCTTATAACCATAATGAAGTGGAAATTATCATTCTGCCTCACCCAAATGGGACCATTATATATCAATTCTGCAATAAGGAACATCCAACCATTTTATTAATAGTACACAGAGCACTAAATGTCGACAGTGCCTACACCATCATGTTTAAACTTTCCCACACTGGTGTATATTTACATTGCTTCCAGTTGATTATTACTACAAACAGCCCCACAACAAACCTTTTACGTATATAATACGTGTACACGCGGGAGAGTTTCTCTAGGATAGATTCTTGTAGAAAAACTGAGTCCACATATATGGATATTAAACATTTGATACTGCCTAACTGACCTTACATTAAAAAGATAAAAAATATCACTATTATAATCTCATAGCTGGCTTATTGTTAAACCTGATATCTAAAAAGTTTATTGTGAAGGCCCTTTTATTTTAAAATGGAAGAATTCATGTCCCAGAAATAATAGTTTTCCCAAGGTTATAACCCGGTAGAGCTCAGAGATCTGAAGTCCAAATTCTTTGTACTCACACTTGGGTTTTCTTGGCAGTGTGAACATTACAAAGCACATTTTACAAATGTTAACATCAAAATTAGACAGACTAAAATCCCACATACTCAATAAAAGTGTATTTCATCGATACATATTAGAGCTGTGAGTTTTACGAGGTCTACTCAAAGGAGTAAGGACCATGGACTCCAAGGAGAAGGCTCCCATCCTGGCCCGACCCTAAGCCTCCTGCGGGCAGCAGACCAGCCACAGTGTCCCCGGGATGTGACTGCCTCTGAGAGCGGGCAGAGCTGTGACAACTGAACAGCCGTTTTGTCATTATGAAGAGCCACTGAAAATAAACCAGTAAATAAAAAGCATGAGGGAGAGCACTGACCTGCCAAGCACCACGCGGGCACTTGGAGAAGGAGCAGAGGGAGGAGAGAGGCCGCGGGACCGGCAGGAAAACCCGCCATCTCCTTCGGGGCGGGCGGCCGAGCTCGCCCGGAGCACAGTGCCTGCCCTCGGACCCAGGTGCTCTGTGGGGGAAGGTCAGAAAAGGCAGAGGGAACGATCCTGCTTAGAAAAAAACATCCCCGGTTCAAACATTTACGTTTATAAACAGGCTTTTGTCTGTTTTCTCCCACAGACCTTAAGATAACCGCTACCAACCCCCACCCGCCCCCCAGGAGGTTTCCCTTTCCTGTCTTTTTTCCTGAAAACCAGCAGTGCAGACACCTGCAGACCGTTCTGTGTCCTGCGAGCCGTCTTGCTTCCCTGGGGACGCACCCTCTCTCCTGGGATCTTGAAATAGAAAACCTTGCTTTCAAAGCTGAGAAATTAAGTAAAACATAAAATTAGTCCACTCTTCTCAGCAAATCTATCTTCCTTCTTGCACTTATTCCTTCCTTCCTTCGTTGATACATTATTTTTTTTCATTGACCACAAATCTCTCCTGTGGCTTCACTCCTAATAAGGAAGGCAGTTTTCTCACCACATAACCCAGGACCCACATGTCCCAGATACACCTGCACATCACGGCTCTTTTCTTTCTCACCATTTGTATTAAGCCACGCGGTGTTCCTTGAAGCCTCTGGTCTCCTCAGTGCACCTGCAATGCTCGGCTCCAGAGACAGTTTGCACCCGGTTATCCTTGCAGCCAGCGTCCGAGGGTGTGGCTGCAGGGGCTGGGAGCAGCAGGTTTCTAACCCACGCCTGCACCGGGAAAAGATTCTTAGAAGCAGGAACAAAGAGGACTTCTAAGAAGTGGCATTTGAATATCTCTCCTAGAATGTGCCTGATAAGAAAGGCAGGGGCGACCTCTAGGTCTAATTACTTTGAAAGTGGAGGTAATAAAGGCCATCCCAATGATCTTTGGACTGAGCTGAGCTATAAAACGATAGGAACTCTCAAATGGCCTTGGTGGAAAACGCTCAGAGTAGCTTCCTCCCCCGGCCTGCAAAGGGCTGCAATCACACCATTCAGAGAGAGGAACTCTTCTTCCTGTAACATATTCAGGTGTGTTGGTCATCCCAACGTTCCATTCACAAGTGTAACTGATTTAGAGACTGAAACCGACAGGAGCATGCTTCCTGGCTCCGCACCCTAAGTGACATTAGAAGCCACGTGCGGGGTGGGGAGTGGAAGGCTCTGTGCTCCGAGAACCCAAGGGCTGTATTGCCGAGAACCAAAGGGCTCCCCAAAGTGGAATAGAAACAACACAACTGTACAGTGCCAGACACAGAACGCACTCTAAAGGTATGCTCTTTCCCTTTCACATACTTTCCAAGTTCAATTTGTGATTCTTCGTGTCACACAAGGTTTACAGATAATCAGGGACACAAACAGCAGTTGCATAAATATTGGCACGGGAGCCACTAAGAGTCTGGCCAAAGGGACGCCAAGCTAAAGTCTCTAGAGACAGTGAGGTGCAATGAGCTTTTAAGAAATTCAAAGTGTTGAGATATAATTTACATACAGTGGGAGTATGGGTTTTCAATCACATTTCAGTGAGGTTTCACAAATGCTTACACTCAGGTAACCACCACCTTGATGAAAATGTGGAGCATTTCCATTTCTTAAAATTTTTCTTCATGTCCATTGTTAGGACAATCCAGGGAAAGCAAACAGTGCACCTTAGTCTTGCCTATTCTAAAATTTCAAAACTACAAAAAAGGAATCACACAGGGTATATGTCTTTGTGTTGGCCTCCTCAGTTAAACAGAATGCTTTTTGAGATTCAACCATGCGTGTGTGTTAGTCCTTTTATATATTTTTTAAGTTTAAATCAGTTTTAATGTTCTATATGCTTTTAAATAACACGTGTTTTTTAGAAGTGTTCTTTTTTCTTTTTTTTATTGTTGCTCAAGTACAGTTGTCTCCGTTTCCCCATACCTCACCCCTGCCCCACCCATCTCCACCACCCACCTCGATCCTACCCCCCTTTGGCTTGTCCATGTGTTCTTTGTACATGTTCCCTGATGACCTTTCCCTTTCCTCCCCCATTATCCTCTCTCCCCTCCCCTCTGGTTACTGTCTATTTGTTTTTTTTATTTCAATGTCTTTGGTTATATTTTGCGTGCTTGTTTGTTTTGTTGATTAGGTTCCTCTTATAGGTGAGATCATATGGTATTTGTCTTTGACCACCTGGCTTATTTCACTTGGCATAATGTTATCCAGATCCATCCATGCGGTAGTGCAGGGTATGAGCTCCTTCTTTCTTTCTGCTGCATAGTATTCCATTATGTAAATGTACCATCATTTTTTGATCTACTCACTTACTGATGGGCACTTAGGCTGTTTCCAGCACTTGGATATTGTGGATAACACTCCTATGAACACTGCGGTGCATAGGTTCTTTTGGATTGGTGTTTCATGATTCTTAGGGTATAGTCCCAGCAATGAGATTGCTAGATTGAAAGGCAGTTTCATCTTTAGTTTTTGAAGAAATTTCACACTATTTTCCACAGTGGCTGCACCAGTGAGCATTCCCACCAACAGTGCACTAGGGTTCCCTTTTCTCCACAACCCCACTAGCACTTGTTTGTTGATTTGTTTATGATGCCCATTCCCCAGGTGGTGAAAGACAGATACCACATGATCTCACCTATAAGTAGAATCTAATCAACAAAACAAACAAATGAGCAAAATAGAAGCAGAGGCTTAGAAATAAAGAATAAACTAACAGTCACCAGATGGGAGTGGGGACAGGAATAATGGGGTACGAAGGGGAGGGGGCAAACAGAGGAACACGAAAAGAGGGCTCATGGGCATGGACAGTGGTGGGGGTTGACTGTGGAAGGGGGGCAGGGTAGGGGAGAGCAATGGGGAAAATGGTGGGACAACTGTAACTGAACAAGAATAAAAAATGATCATAGTAATTTTTGATTAAGGTAAATTTCTTGATCTAGGTATATGAAAGTAGCATTTAGGATCTGGGCTTAGTAACAGTCTAGAATAGGGGTGTCAAATTCATTTTCACTGGGCGCCACATCAGCCTTGAGGATGCCTTCAAAGTGCCGAAATAATTTCAGGACTGTATAAACGTAACTACACCTTAACTAGGGCAAGGGGCTGGGCGCTGCCGCCAGGTAGAAACAAGGTGGAAGGTTGGATTCAGCCCACAGGCCTTGTGTTTGCCACCTGTAGTCTAGAAAGTACACCTTGAACTTCATTTCTGTAAAATCTGTTTTGTTATCTCCTTTCCTGTTCAGAGTCACTCAAAAAAGAGCTTGTTAAGTTCTCCATTTTCTTTGCTAAATAGACATTACTTTTATGTTGTATACTTGGCACCTCACGAGCTGTCACTCCTTTTCAGACAGAAGGAAGGAATTGTATCATCAAGCAAGATTATGGTTGGGCCAACCATCTCACCTGCCCCTCTGCTCTGACCACCTCCCATTGATCTTGTTGGTGAAGGGGCATTCCCCACCCTAAATAGAATAAGACGGTCAGACACACGACGCCCGACACTGGACAGATGAGATTGACAGCAGTGTACTAATCACATACACTCACATCCTGGGGAGGGCACCACACACGGTGCAGGACCACATGGGGGCTGCACTTGGGAGTAGAGCGAACCGGCAGTGGCTGTGGGAGGAAGGTTTGTGGTAATGAGAGGATGAGGAGCACCGGTTTTCTGTGGAAGTATGCGATTGGCTTGTTTGAGTACTCTTGCCAATTACTCAATAGAATGGGGTGCAGTCCATTATAATTAGACTGACGACCAGGTGGGGTGCAGCCAGTTAGGCTGATAAGAGAATTAGCTGGGTGGGGAGCCTTTCCTGCTGGGTGGAAGGATTTCCAGTGAGAACAGGGAAATGAACAGTTTGGCATTTGGCAGTTTGGCCTGTGAGTCAGCAAATGAAATTTCAGGATTTACAATATACTTTCACAGTTCATAGCCTATTCTCTTCTTCTCCCAAAAGAACCAGACCCTCATATTTTATCACAGATATGTTGGTGGATGTGGGAAACTGAGGAAATAAAACAGAAGGTATAAAAAAAAGACAAATATTCCAGAATTGTCATTGAGATGATGATCACAGAAATACAGCTGTATCACAAACCTGATTTCATGTGGTTGCAATTTCACATTCTGAAGTGAATGTCCAATGAATGGGAGAATCTAATTTCTTCACTTTATGTCAGACCAGAGAAAAGCTGGGTTATATGCTGGTGAGTATCTGTTTGTCTTAGGGCTTCAGGTGCATCAGGATTTCATGAGGTGATTCCAGGGCATTATCAGATCGGGGCCTTTTTCTGGAGATTTTAGTTTGAAGCTAGGAGTCCAGAAAAATGCAGGGGCTAAGGGAATAAGCACCCCGCTAGTTCAGAGGACACATTCTTGCCATATTTTAACACATAATTTTTTCTTTTTAGACTGGAGAAAGGAGCCTTTCAAAGCAAGCAAGTGATCATATTTTGTTGTTTCACATACTCTCTTTTATACCAATGAGAAACTCACGTTTATATAAACTCCCAGCAATACCAACTTGGTTACGTATTTCATGACTTCCACTTCACCCTCAACCTCATGCTGACACATGAAGGGATTTTTTACTGATCAGATACCATTCATTCAGCATATCTTTACACAATTATTTATTCAGAGTCAAATAAATAAAGCCGATGTCTGACTTTAGGGAACATACACATACAAAGTATAATAAATGTTCTAAGTAATAAACAATTGCAGTGAGAAAGAAAACTGGTGGATTAAAGAAATTCCCTGAAGAACTGATGTTTAGTCTGAGGCTTCAGTGATTTGATAGATTTATTCATGTGCATAACATTGACAGAGTAGTTTGGCCTGAAAGAAGTCTGTCATGTAACCATCCTGAGACAGAGTGGAGCTTGTTCCACGTCAGTGCAAGCGGACGATGGCCCCGGCCACCTTAGGGTTTTTCCGGGGCTATGAACCGATTGTCAATTTCTAGTACATGCTGCTCTACTCTGAATATCCCCGCATCTACACATGTTTTTCTAGCTAACATAACCCTTCACAAATTAAAATATATCTTATATATCACATGCAAATTTTTAGAAAAACTTAAATTATTGAAAATGTTTGGTTTGACAAGAATCAGATTATTTACTACTAGTACCAGTACTATTGCTACTCTTACTACCAGTATTAGTGTTACTGGAACACTGGAAGCTGAAGTTTACCAAGTATTCATCAAGGGCAAGACATATATTAAACTCTCCACACATTTTCTCAGTTTTTTCTCACACTAGTTCTATGCTGAGAGACTATAATTATGTTCATCATCACAAAAGCAAAGTGAGGCTGAGAGAAACAAAAGTAGTTTCACCAAGATCTCAGCTACTATGGACCAAGTGGTTGTCAAAATTCAGATCTTTCTCACTAGAGCCTGGGATTTCAACCATTAGAAATATTGTATAAGGGTGTGTGAGAAGCAGATGACTTAGTTACCACATACACCCACAGAAAAATGATACTAAAGAAGCGTACATGAAAATAGGTACAGGGTGACTGGAAATACAACAGGGCTTAATCATTAAGAGCAAGCAGTGAAGCGCTAGCATTTAAGGGAAAGCGGAGACCCCATCCTGAAATACTCAGTCCTGAGGATGTCAGGTAAGGCAGCCCTCCTGGCTACATGGTTTCTGCCTATTGGGAACAGATGACCACCCAAGGTCCTGTCAACTCCGGCTTTCTAGGATCTACACATCATGCGTCTCCTATG